ATCCGAGTCAACCATCCAATCCAGCCCAGGCCATCCATCCAGCCACTCCATCCATCCATCCATCCATCTATCCATCCATCCATCCATCCATCCATCCATCCATCCATCCATCCATCCATCTATTCAATCCAAACCCGCGCACACGCATATACACGCGCACGGGCACGCACACGTATATGCGCACGTACACGCACACGTATATGCGCACGTACACGCACATACACACACACACACACACACACACACACACACACACACACACACACACACACACACACACACACACACACACACTCGCGCGCGCATGCACACGCACACGTACAGCGTCATATTACATTTCGCATGTACAACATTATAGCTGGAGAACTGAGACGCGATGCTGTGAGCAGTGATTTTTGTAGATCGGATTTGAGCATGCACTCGTGCCGCGGGCCCGCCTTTGTCCAGTTTGAGCGTATGAGATCGGCCGAAAAAAATATCCTGGCTGTTAACGGCGACGAATGAAGTGAGTGCCATTCCTACGTACATTAGCATATAGCGTTGACCATCGACATAGCAATTCCTACATAAATTGACTACGTCACGAATTTTCTATGGTGTATATTTGTACAATTTTTTTGCAATTTAAGTACTAACGGCACTAAATGTATCCTCAAATTGTTACCCGATAAGATTGTTTTTCAACTAGTTAAAAGTAAAGAAAAACTGGGCGATTTGATATATTGATCACGACATTAAATGCTTGCTATTATATGGGCTATGTATGAGTCACGAGTGTTTGTTCACATCAAACGGAATAGCAAAATAGGAAGTATAATGCAGAAATTTAACCATAAAAAGTGAACAGAATCACTTACATTTTGTGAAAAAGTGGACATAATTTTTTATACTTTTACTATTTACGATGATGTCATCACTATAATGTCATTCGGCGTTGCGGGGTATTGAGAAGGTCGTGAAGCCAGCACGTATTACATATAATAACGTTAAAAATTGCGGTTGTCAAAAAACATTTATCCCCAAAACAGAGAATAGTAGAATAGTATAGCGCATTCAAGTTTCGTGTATCCGTTATTATTGCTGAGACTGTTATTGCCGAAAACGTCGAGTTATTTAACTTACTTATATATGACGCACATAATGAACGTGATGAAATTCCATGTAATTGCGAGTGCTATAGTTGTGTTGACTATATTGCTAGGACACTTGCTTACTCCAGTATAAATATGTTGTCTTTCATGTTGTGATATCCTGCTATTTTCAACTATACTCTTTACGCAGAGCCATGCACGTATCGAATAACAAATTTGACAGATATTCAAGTTTGCATCATTTGACGAAATTTATTTTAATTTAAAAATGACAGTGTGCAGGTGTTGTCTGTGTACTCTGTTATAGATTTTGTGCAAACAGTTACGCTATTCGAAAGTTATTAAACACTGATTAGAAACTGGCGCTGAAACGATAGGCCTATTTGGCGGTTGTCAGTAAACCGTTATTTCACAGTACAGCCGTGAAACGCACGTATAGCGTGCTTAAAAAAAACACGAGATAATCATTAAAACAGTTGTCGACAAATGTAATTTGGTTAGCTGTGGTAGAAGCGGGAATGCGTAGCTATAGATAATAGCATAGCAACTGGGTATGTGACGGGATGAGGACGGTAAAACCTGAAAATGGCTAGGTAAGCAAATGGCTACCTGTAGGTAAAGAATTTTTAAAGCATGCTTTGAAATGCTGCTCTTTGTACATTGTGAGCATGAAAAAACGCATTTCCGTAGTTATTCCAGTAATTTACAGTTAATTCAGCAAGGTATTCATAAGGGGTAGGTATTCAGTAGGGTATTCAGCAGTATTTCCAGATAATTTAGCATGGATGTCCTCGTTGGTACTTTAGCCAGTAATAGTTATTTCTTAGTCTACGCGAGCCATAATCCAGTCGACGTATTTAGATACTTGGGTGTACATGGTAGGCGCATACGGCTTCCCACAGGATGTACCCCAGGAGACGATTCCGTAAACCGTCCACAGGCCGGTATCATCGTTGGACACGGGTCCGCCGCTGTCTCCCTATAGGAAAACAAATAGAATATATATATATATGTATATATATATATATATATATATATATATATATATATATATATATATATATATATATATATATATATATATATATATATATATATATATATAATTATAGGTATATAATATTAGTAGCTCTTGATATTATATATATCCCTATAACAGGAATCTGTCGGAATTTAATGGCCTTTAGGCGTAGCCGCTACTGGATTACATGTATACTGTTGGGGATATCTCCAGTATATTTATTTAAAATGTAATTATCGCATAAATTTTGACGTTTATCTAGCAATAGTACTGGCCATATTATTCACATGTCGTGAGTTTAGCAAGTGTATCTCTAAATCATGTTTGCGTTTTTATGAGTCTCTTCCGGTAAACTACACGGTAAAGGTACGTCATAGCATGGTTTTGTATTTGCAGCTACGAGATGGCGATCGTAATCATTTATGCGCGTGATTTCTTGAAATGCGAGACAGTCGAACTAAGATGTAAAAAGAACGAGTGGCATGAGCTTCCGGGATGTTTTACTGTTGTCACGGACGACCGTTCGCGCATGCGTACCTTGCAGGAATCGTGAACGCCTCCCGTATAGCCGACGCAAATCATGTTCTCGTGCACACCATTCCAGTGTATTATTGAAGACTGCTTACACTCATTCCAATCATAGATAGGAGCGTAAAACTGCTTCAGGACATCCGACAATGGAGAGTTGGGATAGTCGTTAAAATCTGAAATTATAGGGAAAGCTCAAACATACGGACAATTAAATTGCGCGCGACAGCGCGCTCGTGTGTAGTGAGCACACATACCACGTGTACTCGGTTTCGCGAAACGGTGCGAAATTCGCCCTCAACTACAGTCTTTTTACACCCTGGCCGGCACATACTTTTGGCTTTACTGGTCTAAATGCGTACGGGGACTTGTGCTATACATTCTGCCGGTCGAGTAAAAAGCGTCAACGGTGAAAACATCGAATATAAAGCTCAGTTTCTTCTCTAGGCTTGCTATAGACAGCATCTTAACTGAATATATAAACTGATTGGATTTCGGAAGTGAGCGCATCGCAATAGATTGTCCGCAAAGCGAAAAAACGTAGTCAGCGCTTGAGAAATATCCGTGTGATTTAAAAGCAAATAGAAATAATGGACATGGGTCAATTATACAAGCTAACAAAGGGAAATGAGTAAAGATTACTATACAATTCCGATCAACGTACCACGAGTCATTCCCCATCCTGATATGTAAACCATCGTGCCTGCGACGCTAGGTTCATTTTGCTCAGGGAGGCACATGAGAGAGACTTGATCGGTGAGGGTAAACGGAGGATCTACCTTTATCAACGCGATGTCATCTGTGAAGCTGTGCATCATAAACGATAATATGTTATGCGCTTGTGTTAATTATAATGAGGGTAATCTAACGATAATTCGGTTTCGAACATCTTCAACGTAAACACTGCTCGTTGTTGCCTTTGAGCCTCGAGGTCATGACGTATCTTACTCGTTGCTAAGCATGCTGAAGCCTGCGTGCTTGATAATCTGGGTGGCCCTGCGTTTCTGCTCGTACTTGTCTGGAATGGACAGGCGATGGGAACCTGCGTAGACCCTAACGTTGTAAGGATTGTTCTGTCCGGGCTGTATTGTAGGGAAAACGCAACTTGTTAGCAGTGACCTCGCTGATCACAGTGAACTCGGTCGACTACACGTACATGTTGCCTTGGTACAACGAGGGCGAGCAAGTATTATAATTGATTTTAAACACAGTCATGTTTTATTTTTCCGCGTAAGTCTATGGTTTATAAATTCACTAGATGTTTTTTCCCCGAATTCGGTGCGTGAGTTTTCGGTAAAACGCGACTTTTCGGGACCTTCGTAATTGGCGAGTACAAGTGTGTATACAAGTATAACGATGTAAAATCTCGTAACGTAGTGATAGAAATAACCATTACCATTGCCACACAGTGGGCTGCAGTCATGATCCAGTTGTCTCTGATCAAAGTACCACCGCAGTAATGTGAATCTTGGTTTGGAATGTATCGCAGCGACACCTATGGGAAAATAGGTATATACTAAGATGTCACATCAATCACAAGGACGTAAAATTAATGTGATATTTAAGGAATAAACAAGAAAGAGAATTTTTTGGAAATACTGCTTCCGATTACTAGCAGTAATACTTTTGATTTAAAATCAGCAAATCACGGTAATCAGTGATGATATTGTGAGGCTCGTTACATGTGTACTGTTTGATGTAACAGAATGGTTTGAGATGCAATCAGTCTATTTCCCCTCATACTAAGGACTTGAGCAAAACGATGACATGCACTCGTAACTAAACCATGGTACATAGACGTGCTGCGGCGAACACTCTGCTATTTACCTGCCATGGCCAACTGTTCTGTCTCGCCTCGATTCCTCCCGTCACTCTACCGTTTCCCTGGATGTGCTCTATTGCCTTCACACCGCATGATTCGCCTTGGTTCAGAGCTTGACATCGAAATATGCAGAAAAGTTTTTTCTATTATACGTCGATACCGTCACTTCAGCTGCAAGCAACATAGAACTTGGGGTATACGTTCCAAGTAACAGGGCACCATATTGTCAAACTATCATCGAATTATACTTACGCACGGCGAAGACCGCTCCTAGAAGACAAACGAATGAGACCAGCTTCAGCATGATGACTGTGTACACGTCCTAGCACCGAGAATGGACCGATGTCCACAGGCATGCGGCTTTTATACGCTTCGGTCGTACCGATCGTGAGAACGCGACACGCTGCAGAGCGAGCCCTCGTGAATGAGCAGATGGTAGCATACCCAGAATAAGATGGGTTCTGTCCAGTATCTGTGTCTGTGAATAGTAATCCGTAGAGTATTAATTTTAGTCGCGACATCGCGGATATTGCTCAGCGTGTATATAATATTATCGTGGATTTATCCAGAAGATATATGTGATATCAGATGTCCGTGAGACGCGGGAAATTGGGTTGCAGCTGTTTGAGTCTGAATTGCTATGCGCGAAGGCGCCTTTTAATGCAAGTAAATAACGTATTTTGGTGCGGCTAGTTCAATATATATTCGTCGTCAGTGTTAGGATGGAATCAGAAAGCTGCGATTGTAACTCTGTATATTTCGAATTTTCGGTATTTTGCGTAGGCGGCGTGACGACACGCTTGTATACCCCGACGAACAGAATAAATTCTATATAGCTTGTCTATTCGTCCTATTAAGTAGTTTATAATTAGTTGTGCAAGTTCGTGCTTTTCACGTAGAACCGGCGGAAAACTATGGAAGTGGGCATTTTACATTTCCTCTGGACAGAAGCATCTGTGTTCGTCGGTACTGTCGTCTAGGGTAATACGAAACTAGTTGAACAAGATGGTCTATTTCACATTGAATCGTCGATGTTATCTCCTGCGAGAAATCCATCATGAATGCCATGTGATATATCCTCTGCGTACGTGTGGGCGATACGTGACTATCGCACGAACGAGTGGTATGTTTGCTACGTGGGGAAGGACTGTTATCTGAAGGTAAAACATTGAGAAATCGCGAAATAATCTATAGCCAATAAGCATTATGTACAGCAATCTATGCAGCTAAATATATATATATATATATATATATATATATATATATATATATATACAGATTTGTGTGATGTCTAATCGCCTGAACAACAAACGAAAACGGGTCAGCCACTCGCCAACAACCAACAACTTGGTAACGGCGTGTGGGCAGTACGCCAAGGTCGCGCAAGAATCGAAACGAAAAATTCATGAAACGTTGATTTCACTATAATCAAACAATATTTGTAAAAAAACTGAATTTATTAATCAAACAATCGTAATTTCATTCTATCATTATTACGATGCCAAGCTAATATAGCGTTTCTGTGAAATACTGAACAAGCTAAGCTACGTTACATTGGGTATACTTTTGGGATAAGTTTTAAATGTCAACCTTATGACAGTATACATTTAAAACTTATCGTGTTTTATGCAAAACCAGATCGGTTGTTACAACTTTTATTTACAAAAAAGTAAATATAAAAAAGTATAATTTAAAAACGTAACATCAAATCAAGCTAATATCGACTAGTTTCATCAGTCGTTGAACCGCATATAAAAAAATAGTTGTGAGTAACCCGATATACTAAGGTAGTGTTTTTGAATATTGGAAATAGTGATTTCCGGGATACATGTACATGTATGAAGCGATAATCTATATCGAAAATTTAATAAATTGTTAAAGATCAGACATGTCTGAAAGATTGGATGTATTCAACAGTTTGGCCTTGACCATGCTAGAAATTTTGTAACCAACCACATTTGTATGAAGAAATATATTAAAATGTCAGGTTTTGAGTTTCTGCGTGGAATTATCTAAGCTTCTGATGCATTGATTGCAAGAATCTGCACCAAGCTTGTTATCTTCATATGTTCAATTTATGTTATTGTTTAAAAGTATAGTTCTGTTAAATATAGTCAATAATATACTACGCAGGTGATTTGTCGAAAGAAGTTCATGCGAATATGAATGACATTTCATTTGTACAGAGAAGGGCTTGAATGAATAAACGAATATTGCCAATGCCTACCCTGACAAATGAAAATGGACGTATATTGCTAATAATGGTTATGGTGAAAAATGTACATGCACAAATATTTCTAATGGTTCTGTGACAAATGATGAAAACAGCATAATGATGTTTAACAAGTATGATATTACATGTGACGAATTACATGAACGTATATTGGTAATGGTTACAGTGACAAATTAAATGAACGTATATTGATAATGGTTATGGTGAAAAATGTACATGCACAAATATTTCTAATGGTTCTGTGACAAATGATGAAAACAGCATAATGATGTTTAACAAGTATGATATTACATGTGACGAATTACATGAACGTATATTGGTAATGGTTACAGTGACAAATTAAATGAACGTATATTGATAATGGTTATGGTGACAAATAACATGAACGTATTTTGGTAATGGTTACAGTGACGAATTACATGAACGTATATTGGTAATGGTTACAGTGACGAATTACATGAACGTATATTGGTAATGGTTACAGTGACGAATTACATGAACGTATATTGGTAATGGTTATGGTGACGAATTACATGAACGTATATTGGTGATGGTTACAGTGACGAATTACATGAACGTATATTGGTAATGGTTATGGTGACGAATTACATAAACGTATATTGGTAATGGTTATGGTGACGAATTACATAAACGTATATTGGTAATGGTTACAGTGACGAATTACATGAACGTATATTGGTAATGGTTACAGTGACGAGTTACATGAACATATATTGGTAATGGTTAAGGTGACGAATTACATGAACGTATATTGATAATGGTTACAGTGACGAATTACATGAAC